TGTCAGGTTTCAGAGGAAAAGAGCCACAGGGCAAGGAGCTGAGTGTGGCCTCTGGCCAATAACCAGCAAGAAATTGAGCCTTCAGTGTAGCAGTTTGCCAGGAACTGAATTCTGCCAGCAACAATGTTGAGTTTGCAAGCAGATCCTTCAGTTGAGCCTCAGATGAGACCACAACCCCAACTAACACCTTGATTGCAGCCTTGTGAGATCCTCAAAGCAGAGGACCCAGCTAAGTGATGCTTGAACTCCTGACCCACAGAAATTGTGAGATAACAAATGTGTGTGGTCGTAAGCCACCAAGTTAGTGATAATGTTGTTATGGAGTGATCAAGAACTAGTATAATGTGTTTTCTAGAAGAAAAGCTCTAGGAAGAGAAGGAAGAGTTCAATAAAAATTTTAAGGCATCAGAAGAGGAAAATATGGAGATAAAAGAGCTCAGAAAATTAATGGAGCAGCTAAAAAATGGTGGGAGAATAAATAGAAGAAAAACACATGATTGAATACACAATCTAAAGAAATCATACAATACAAAATTTAAAAATGACAGTGATATAAAAAAATCAAATTTAATATGGACAAAAAGATATACCTGTCTTTCATATAGGCATAGTGAAATAAAATAAATTTGGGGAAGAGATAGAAATTGAGAAAGAAAATAAATCAAACACAATTAAATAAATAGTAAAAAAAAATTACAAAATATGTTCCGGAATTGAAGACCAGATTTGCAGATTTAAAAAAGCAAACTCTGTCTAGGAGAAAAAGTGATTCAGCATCATGTTCACCAAAACATGTCCTGGTGCAATTTGGAATTTAAGGAATAAAGACAGAATTTTATGAAAATGTTATGCAGAAAAGCAAGTAGCACTTTATTTTAAAAGAATCAGATTTTCCCTGGAGTTTTCCATAGTAATTGTTTAAAGCTAGAGAACTGAAAGAATGTCTACCACATTCTGTGGGAAATAAAATGTGACTTTAAAATTGATCCCTAGACAAGTTATCCTTCAACTATAAAGACAAAAACACATATTCTCAATGGTATAGAAACTGAGGGGACACATTGCCTGTAAGTGCTACTTTTAAAAAAAGCATGTCAATGGATTTCAATCAAATAAGAGATGTATGGAAGCACAGAATACAAGAACAAAGAAACTAGGGAAAAAGAATGATAATAAATACAATTCCCTTAAGTATAAAATCACAACTAAAACATGTCATGAACTTTGATTGCAAAATAAAATGTAAATGTTATTAATCTTGACATTATGAACTTAATAAGTAATACAAATCTGGGAGAGATTGGTGGAAGAAACTTTAAGTGCACAAACCTCCCAGTCTTCCATAGTCAAAAGTCTGTGGATCTGGCATAATTTACACATGCAGTTTAAAAAAGTCCTGACCCCAGCCTCTTAATATTTATCTTATCTATAGAGGAAAGTTTCAGAAACTTATTTTTTGTGGTAAAGAAACATTTACTTCAAGTACACCAATTCTTTCAGCTTTACTTCAGTTTCTTCTTTCATTAATTAGATTTTAATTGAACATAATTAAATTAGCCAGGCATGGTGATGCATACCTGTAATCTCAGCTACTTGGGAGGCTGAGACAGGAGAATTGCTTGAACCCAGGAGGTGGAGGTTATGGTAAGCCAACATCACACCATTGCACTCCACGTTGGGTGACAGAGATTCCATTAAACAAAAGTGAACATAATTAATAAAAATAAAATAAAAATCCTCCAATCCCATTTTATACCATTCTATTTGCATAATTAAACATAGAGAAGTGAAATTATGGTAAAGTTTAGTGAGGGTTATTTTTGGGCTAAAAGGTTAGGAATAGATCTTGCACTCCCCTCTGAATTTTGGGAATTGTTTCGATTGTTTAAATGATAAATATAGATCAGTCTCAGAAAACTTTTTTTTCTTACATACAAGTCTTAAATTAATTACAGTCACACCTCAGTTTATCGCTCTTAGCTTTATTTCACCTTGCAGATATTGGGATGTTTGTAAATTGAATGTTTGTGGCAATTCTGAGTCTAAAAGCCTATTGGCGTCATATTCCCAATAGCATGCTTTTACTTCATGTCTCCATGTCATATTTTGGTAATTCTCAAAATATTTCAAATTTATTATTATTATGTTTGCTATGGTGACCTGTGATCAGTAATTTTTAATGTTACCATTTTAATTGGTGGTATCAGGAACTGTGTTCAGAGATGATAGTGAATTTAATCAATAAATGTTTGTATGGTTTCTGACTGTCAACCAATTGGCTGTTCCTTCATCTATCTTCTTCTTACTGGGCCTCTCTATGCCCAGATACACAACAATATTGAGATTAGGCCAGTTAGTAACCCTACAATGGTCTCTAAGTGCTCAAGAGAAAAGAAGAGTCCCACATTTCTCACTTTAAATCCAAAGCTCAAAATGATTAAGTTTAGTGAAGAAGGCATGTTGAAAGTTGAGATGGACTGAAAGAGAGGCTTCTTGTGCCAAACAGTCAGCACAGTTGTGAATGAAAAGAAAAAGTTTTTGAAGGAAACTAACAGCGGTTCTCCAGGGAACACATGAATGATGAGAAAGTGAAACAGCCATATTACTGATAATGCAGACAGTTTTAGTAGTCTTCATAGAAAATCAAACCAGCTACAACATTCCCTTAAGCCAATGCCTAGATCAAATCAAGGCTCTAACTCTCTTCAATTTTATAAGACTGAGAGAGGGAAGGAAGCTGCAGAAGAAAAGCTGGAATCTAGCAGAGATTGGTTCATTAGGTTAAAGGAAAGAAGCCATCTTCCTAACATAAGAATGCAAGGTGAAACAGCAAGTCCTGATGTAGAAGCTGCAGTGAGTTATCCAGAAGATCCAGCTAATATCATTGATGAAGGTGACTACATAAACAACACATTTTCAATGTAGACAAAACAGCCAACTATTGGAAGAAGTTGTCCTCAAGGACTTTTCTAGCTATAGAAGAGAAGTCAATGGCTGGCTTCAAAGTTTCCAAGGACAGACTCACTCTCCTGTTATAGGCTAATGTAGCTGGTGACTTTAAGTGTAAGTCAATGCTCATTTACCATTCCAAAAACTCTAGGGCCCTTTAGAACTGTGCTAAATCTATTCTGCCTGTGCTCTATCAATGGAACAATTAAGTCTGGATGATAGCATGTCTCTTTACAGCATAGGCTACTGAATATTTTAAGCCCACTCTTGAGAACTACTGCTCAGGAAAAAATGTTTTCGGAATATTTTTGTTCACTGACAATGCACCTGTCACACAAGAGCTCTGATGTAGAAGTACAGGGGATTAACATTGTTTACATGCCTACTAACATATTCATTCTGTAGTCCATGCATCAAGGAATCATTTTGACTTTCATGCCTTATTACATAAAAGATACTGTTTATAAGGCTATAGTTGTTATAGATACTGATTCCTCTGATGGATCTGGGCAAAGTAAATTGACAACCTTCGGGAAATCACCATTCTAGTCTAGATACCATTAAGAACATTCATGATTCTTGGAGGAAGGGGTGGTCAAAATATCAACATTAACAGGAGTTTGGAAGAAGAAGTTGATTCTACCCTCATGGGTAACTTTGAGAGGTTTAAGATTTCAGTCAAGGAAGTAACTTCAGATGTGGTGAAATTAGCAAGAGAGCTAGAATTAAAAGTGAAATTGAAGATGTGACTGAATTGCAGCAACCTAATGATAAAACTTTTTCTTTCTTTCTTTTTTTTTTTTTTTTTTTTTTGAGACAGGTTCTTGCTTTGTGACCCAGGCTGGAATGCTGTGGCACAAACACGGCTCACTGTAGACTCGACCTCCCCAGCTCAAGCAATGCTCCCACCTCAGCCCTTCAAGTAGCTGGGACTATAGGCACATGTCATCATGCCCATCAAGTCTTTATATTTTTTTTCTAGAAACAGGGTTTTGTCATGTGGTCCAGGCTGGACGTGAACTCCTGAGTTCAAGTGGTCCATCTTCTTTGGCTTCCCAAAGTGCTGGGATTACAGGTGTGAACCATTGCTCCTGGCCTCATGATAAAACTTTAAGGGATAAGATATTGCTTCGAGTGAATGAGGAAAGAAATTGGAACCTTGATGTGGAATGTACTTCTGGTGAACATGCTGCGAATGTTGTTTAAATGACAACAGAAGGTTAAGGATAGTCCATAAACTTAGCTGAGAAAGCAGGAGCAGGAGTTGAGAGGACTGACTTCAGTTTTGAAAGAAGTTCTGTAGATAAGTTGTTACAAATAACCTCACACGCTGCAGAGAAATATTTTGTGAAAGAAAGAGTCAATAGATGCAGTAAATTTCATTTTTTTATTTTAAAAAATTGCCTCAGCCACCCCAACCTTCAGCAGCCACTACCCTGACTAGTCAGCAGCCATCAATATCAAGGCTAGACCCTCCATCAGCAAAAAGATTATAACTCGCTGAAGGCTCAGATGATTATTAGAGTTTTTCATGTAATTTTTTATTAGGAATAAAATCTTTTTAAATTTAAGGAATGTATATTTTTAAAGACATAATGCTATTTCACACTTAGTACACCACAGTAGTGTAAACACAATTTTTAAATGTACTGAAAAACCAAAAAAACAAAGAAGTCTCATTTTATTATGACATTTGCTTTATTGTGGTGGTCTTGAACAAAACTCATAACATCCTTGAGAGATTATGCTTATATGAATAGAATTAAAAGCATAATATATATACTTAATGTATTATAAAAAAGAAAGAAGATAAAACAAATATATCTGCATGCAAATTTTATCTATTAACATATGCTGTTTGCAAAGAAATATATATATAACAAAATGATGTAATAAGTCTATAGATTATGTAAATGTCCTAGGCAAATGCAAGCAAAAAGAAAGGGTAATAGGTATAAGAAATAAATGCATCTGATGGAAGGAAAGGCCAGTCACATGCAACAAATTTTACAGAAAGTAAAAGGGACAATTCATAACAAAAATTTAAATTAACAAACCTTCATGTGTATTGTATTAAGCAAAATCTGTTTGAATAAAAGAAGAAATTAGTGGAAATACAAGTGAGAGAATTTATTTTGAGTAGGCAAAAAAGAACTGAAAACATACAAAATGTAAATAAAGTTGATTTGCACACTCCAAAGAATAAATGAAATTTTCAGTGCCAAGAGCATCTATAAATTTATATAATTTGATTATGTTATGTAAAACATGACAATTTCCAAAAGACAGAAAGTCATATTCTCTGACCACAATGCAAAAATAGTAGACAAACAAAAGGTAACAAAAATAAAAAAGGAATAGGGGTGATCTAATCCTTTAGAAATAATAGTTTGCCAAATAATTATTGTCCAAAAGAGGAAATAAAACCTGTAATTTTATACTCTTTAGATATTAGCAATAACATTACCACATATCCAAATATGGATTGATGCCAAAGCTGTTCTCAGAGAAAAATGCAGTGTTTATTGCTTTTACTCTTAACAAGAAAATAAATAAAGGAAGGGAGGAAGGGAGGGAGTGTAGAGGAAGGAAGGAGAGAAAGGAAACTAAATCTTGTATCTAAGAACCGAGAGGAATAACAATAGAAAACTCTACAGGGAAATAAATGATTAAAGATAAACCAGATATTAATGAATTTGAAAATAGAGAATTATTTTAGCAATTAGCTTCAGGAAATATAATCTAACCATTTTAAGTAAAAATAGATTTAATACAGTAAATTCGGTACTTACAGCATTGTAGGAAGGGCTGGAAAATCAGGCTTTTGGCTATACCTTCAGGGCTTACTCCCAAAATCATTGCTAAACTGTACTGCCAGTTTCTATAGTGACACAATCAAGAAGATGCAGATTTAGGAGGCTACCACTGGAACAACTGAGTTCAAGAACATAATATAAGAGATTTTTACCCAAGAAGCAGAGATAGATCAAAAGAAACCACTGCTAGTATTGCGTCTTCCTCCTTGCTACCCATGACTTGGCTTTGCTCTTGCAGAAAAACTCTATTTCTGTGACTAGAACAGGCAGTAAGAACAGCTGGACTCAAATTTGTGGCCAGAACACTGCCTCAAAGAGATCTGGGGAATGTAGTTTTTGGGTTTTCCGGCTCTACAGCAGGAATGTCCAATCTTTTGGCTTCCCTGGGCCACATTGGAAAAATTGTCTTGGGCCACAGGATAGTTTTGCATGTGGCCCAACACAAATTTGCAAACTTTCTTAAAACATTATGAAATTATTTTTTTAGCTCATCAGTTATCATTAGCGTTAGTGGGTTTTGTGTCTAAGAAGAAGACAATTCTTCTTAGGAATTAGGAGTTCTACCACTGAGACAGATGAAATGACAAATGTTACAGGATAGTACCAGTGGTAACCTGATGGTTTTAAATTTGTAAATCTTGATAAAATGGATATTTCTAATTTCTAAGAAAATGTAAAAGTTCAAATTGATTTTAAAAATTGGGAACCTAAGCATATCAATTGTCATGGGAGAAAATGAAAAAACTTATTAAAAATAAAAATGGCCCCCAGACCAAAAAAGACCCAAACAGCTTTATAAAAAATCTTCAAGGAACAGATAATTTCTGTATCATTATACCATTTATAAAATTTCCAAACCAGTCACTGGCAAGATGGTAAAATAGGAAGAGCTCTGGTTTACAGTTCCCAGTGAGATCAATGCAGAAGGAGGGCGATTTCTGCATTTCCAAATGAGGTATCTGGCTCATCTCATTGGGTTAGACAGTGGGTGCAGCCCACTAAGAGCAAGCCAAAGCAGGGTGGGACATTGCCTCACCTGGGAAGCACAAAGGGTAGGGGAACTCTGTCCCTTAGCCAGGGGAAGCCGTGAGGGACTCTGCCGTGAGGAATGGTGCACTCCAGGCCAGACACTATGCTTTTCCCACAGTCTTTGCAACACATAGATCAGGAGATTCCCTCCAGTGCCTATGCCACCAGGGCCGGTTTTAAGCACAAATCTGGGTGGCCATTTGGGCAGACACTGAGCTAGCTGCAGAAGTTTTCTTTCATACCCCAGCAGTGCCTGTAATGCCAGTGAGACACAACCCTTCACTCCTGGAAAGGGGGCTGCAACCAGGGATCCAAGTGGTCTAGCTCAGTGGATCTCACCTCCATGAGGCCCAGCAAGCTAAGATCTACTGGCTTGAAATTCTCTCTGCCAGCACAGCAGTCTGAAGTCCACTTGGGGATGCTCAATTTTGGTGGGAGGAGGGGAGTGTGCCATTACTGAAGCTTGAGTAGGTGGTTTTCCCCTCACAGTGTAAACAAAGCCACTGGGATGTTCAAACTGGGTAGAGTCCACCCCAGCTCTGCAAAGTGACTGTAACCAGGCTGCCTCTCTAGATTCCTTCCCTCTGGGCAGGGCATCTCTGAGAGAAAGGCAGCAGCCCCAGTTAGAGGCTTATAGATAAAACTCTCATCTCCCTGGTACAGGGCACCTGAGGGAAGGGGCGGCAGTGGGTGCAGCTTCAGCAGACTTAAACGTTCCTACATGCCAGCTCTGAAGAGAACAGTAGATCTCTCAGCAGAGCACTCAAATTCTGCTACGGGACAGACTGCCTCCTCAAGTGAGTCCCTGACCCCCATGCCTCCTGACTAAGAGACACTTCCCAGCAGGGGTTGACAGACAACTCATATAGGACAGCGTGGACTATCATCTGATGGGTGCCCCTCTGGGACAAAGTTTCCAGAGGAAGGAACAGTCAGCAATCTCTGCTGTTCTACAGCCTCTACTAGTGATACCCAGGCAAACAGGGTCTCCATTGGACCTCCAGCAAACTCCAGCAGGCCTGCAGCAGAGGGGCCTGACTTTCAGAAGGAAAACTAACAAACAGAAATGAATAGCATCAACATCAACAAAAAGAACATCCACACAGAAACCCCATCCAAAGGTCACCAACATCAAAGACCAAAGGTAGGTAAACCCATGAAGATGAGGAAAAACAAGCGCAAAGAAGCTGAAAATTCCAAAAACCAGAACTCTTTTTCTCCTCCAAAAAATCACAACTCCTCACCAGCAAGGGAACAAAACTGGAGAATGAGTTTGACGAACTGACAGAAGAAGGCTTCAGAAGGTGGGTAATAACAAACTCCTCTGAGCTAAAGGAGCATGTTCTAACCCAATGCAAGAAAGCTGAGAACTTTGAAAGAAAATTAGAGGAATTGATAACTAGAATAACCAGTTTAGAGAAGAACATAAATAATCTGATGAGGCTGAGAAACACAGCACAAGAACTTTGTGAAGAATAAACGAGTATCAATAGCCGAATTGATCAAGTGGAAGAAAGGATACCAAAGATTAAAGATCAACTTAACAAAAAAAAGTGTAAAGACAAGATTAGAGAAAAAAGAAGGAAAAGGAATGAACAAAACCTCCAAGAAATATGGGACTATGTGAAAAGACCAAACCTATGTTTGATTGGTGTACCTGAAAGTGATTGGGAGAATGGAACCAAGTTGAAAAACACACTTGAGGATATTATCCAGGAGAACTTCCCCAATATAGCAAGACAGGTGAACAATCAAATTTAGGAAATGCAGAGAACACCACAAAGATACTCCTCAAGAAGAGAAACCTCAAGACACATACTCATCAGATTCACCAAGGCTGAAATGAAGGAGAGAATGTTAAGGGCAGCCAGGGAGAAAGGTCGAGTTACCTGCAAAGGGAAGTCCATCAGACTAACAGCGAATCTCTCAGCAGAAACCGTAGAAGCCAGAAAAGAGTGGGGGTCAATATTCAACATTCTTAAAGAAAAGAATTTTCAACCCAGAATTACATATCCAGCCAAACTAAGCTTCATAAGCGAAGGAAAAATAAAATCCTTTACAGACAAGCAATTGTTGAGAGATTTTGTCACCATCAGGCCTGCCTTACAAAAGCTTCTAAAGGAAGCACTAAACTTGGAAAGGAAAAACCAGTACCAGCCACTGCGAAAAACAAACCAAATTGTAAAGACCATCGACACTATGAAGCAACAACATCAACTAATGGGCAAAATAGCCATCTAGTATCGTAATGACAGGATCAAATTAACACATAACAATATTAACCTTAAATGTAAATGTGCTACATGCCCCAATTAAAAAGCACAGACTGGCTAATTGGATAAAGAGTCAAGACTTTTATTGTTGTGCTATATTCAGGAGACCCATCTCATGTGCAAAGACACACATAGGCTCAAAGTAAAGTGATGGAGGAATATTTGCCAAGCAAATGGAAAGCAAAGAAAAGCAGGGGTTGCAATTCTACTCTCTGACAAAACAGACTTTAAGCCAACAAAGATCAAAAAAGAAAAAGAAGGGCATTATATTCTGATAAAGGGATCAATGCAACAAGAAGAGCTAAGTGTCCTGAATATATATGCACCTAATACAGGAGCACCCAGATTCATAAAGCAAGTACTTAGAGACTTACAAAGAGACTTAGACTCCCACAAAATAATAGTGGGAGGCTTTAACTCCCCACTGTCAATATTAGACAGATCAATGAGACAGAAAGTGATATTCAGAACTTGAACTCAGCTCTGGACCAAGCAGACCTAATAGACATCTGCAGTACTCTCCACCCCAGATCAATCAAACATACATTCTTCTCAGCACTATATTGCACTTATTCTAGAATTGACCACATAATTTGAAGTAAAACACTCCTCAGCAAATGCAAAATAATGGAAATCATAACAAACAGTCTCTCAGACTACAGTGAAATCAAATTAGAACTCAGGATTAAGAAACTCACTAAAAACTGCACATCTACATGGAAACTGAACAACCTGCTCCTGAATGACAACTGATAAATAACGAAATTAAGGCAGAAATAAATAAATTCTTTGAAACCAATGAGAACAAAGACAAAAGGTACCAGAATCTCTGGGATACAACTAAAGCAGTGCTTAGAGGAAAATGTATGGCGCTAAATGTCCACAGGACAAATTGGGAAAGATCTAAAATCAACACCCTGATATCATAATTAAAAGAACTAGAGAAAGGCCAGGAGCAGTGGCTCATGCCTATAATTCCAGAACTTTGGGAGGCTGAGGTGGGTGGATCACAATTGCTACAAAGACAATAAAATACCTAGGAATACAACTTACAAGGGGTGTGAAGGACCTCTTCAAGAAGAACTACAAACCACTACTCAAGAAAATAACAGAAGACACAAACAAATGGAAAAACATTCCATGCTCATGGATAGGAAGAATCAATATCGTGAAAATGACCATACTGCTTAAAGTAATTTATAGATTCAGTGCTAACCCCATCAAGCTACCATTGACTTACTTCACAGAATTAGAAAAAAACTACTTTAAATTTCATATGGAACCGAAAAAGAGCCTATATAGGGAAGACAATCCTAAGCAAAAAGAACAAAGTTGGAGGCATCATGCTGCCTGATTTCAAACTATGCTACAAGTTTACAGTAACCAAAACAGCATGGTACTGGTACAAAAACAGATATATAGACCAATGGAACAGAACAGAGTCCTCAGAAATAATGCCACACATCTACAACTATCTGATCTTTGACAAACCTGACAAAAACAAGCAATGGGGAAAGGATCCCCTATTTAATAAATGGTGTTGGGAAAACTGGCTAGCCATATACAGAAAACTGAAACTAGATCTCTTCCTTACACTTTGTACAAAGATTAACTCAAGATGGATTAAAGACTTAAACATAAGACCTAAAACCATAAAACCCCCAGAAGAAAACCTAGGCAATACCATTCAGGACATAGGCATGGGCAAAGGCTTCATGACCAAAACACCAAAAGCAACGGCAACAAAAGCCAAAATTGACAAATGGGATCTAATTAAACTAAAGAACTTCTGCACAGCAAAAGAAACTCTCATCAATGTGAACGGGCAACGTACAGACTGGGAGAAAATATTTGCAATCTGTCTATCTGACAAAGGGCTAATATCCAGAATCTACAAGGAACTTAAACAAATTTACAGGAAAAAACTTCATCAAGAAGTGGGCATAGGATATGAACAGATACTTCTCAAAAGAAGACATTTAT